AAATGATGTTTCCAATACTTAAAGATCATAGTAAGATATATCTGGGAAGCATGAGAACCATTTAGAGTTAAAAACAAATCAAAAAGAGGTTAAAATAGATAAATCATCAAGATTGACACGAACCATTGCAACCAATGTCACATACACCGTGATAAGCAACATAGCATGGTTCTACCATGCCCAATGCACATTTTACTATAGCTAACAAGCCCTCTCTCATGCCCCATAGCCAAAGACCATCTGCCATGGCACATATTGTTTGATAATAACTTGTTATCATGACAACACTCAAAACTAACTTTCGGCATGCACAACTCTTTATACAGGTGGCTGATTAAGGTGATTCAAGTGCCTACATATAAACAATTTTATAATCTAACTAATGATTTTAGTCTCACACAAATCCAATATCATATGAAAAATTTAGACACTCAAAGCCATTTAATCACAATTTCCTTTTCTACTACTCAAACCAAGTATCCACAATCCTCACTAAAAGCCATTAACCCAACCTAGGCCTTGAACCACACTTAATTCACCATAATACAACATTCCAAACATTCACATGTATCTAATCATTATATAATCAGAATTAACCACCCAATGCCCAAAATCACAAGGGTGAAAAAATGTCAATTTTCAATGAACATGTCAACATGGATTCAATCCTACAAAGTAAGCTTAAACATAATCCATGACACTTGCATTCATATTTGGCCACCATAAATTAATCGAACTTAGGAATACAACCCTATATTGGCCAAATGTACTAAAAAATGTTGCTAAATAAATGTTCATGGCAATATGCAAGTATTAAAATGACCCCTAGTTGACAATATAATATTCATTACAAAAACTAAATCTAGAGACATTACAAAGATGCTAATTGTCTCTAGCTTCTAAGGCTTCCTATTTGTCCTTAGCTGAATCCTCTCTTGAAAAATGTTAATCCATAAGAGTGAGATGAATCATCTCAGTAACAAAAGAACAAAAACTCAAGCACATATAAGTATTATAATCTATGAGCATGCAAAGCAGGAATATTTCAAAACAACATATTCCAAGTACTCAAGCATATATTAAAACAATGGCCTTGTTTGATATAAAGGATTAAAGAGGTGGGATTGGGACTGGGACTAACTAGTACTATCTTTTTATGTTTGGTATAAGGTAATGGAAAATTTAATCTTAATCCCAATTCCATCTATATGGGATTACCCAATATCACCACCCCCATGGTATTGGAAAATAAATCCTAAGATTGATTATTTTGTGATCAAATTACACTCCTCTATCCTCCCTTTCTCGTCTCTCTCCTTGACCTTCTACCTTATCATTGTTCTCCCACTTAGCTAAGGTCCTTCTATCATGCCACCTCCCTTCGCTAGTGACGTTGTCCATAAAGTAATGTCCTTTCCCTTCCCATTTATCTTTCTCCCACTAGTTCAAGTTTGAGTCACCATTAATAAGTTCAAGTACTCGTGTTCGCCATATCTATGTTCATCTTCCTCTTGCTATCATCAATGGTGAGTCACAATCGAGTTCTCCCTTACTTGTGATTATGAACAGCTTGGTCACAAGTTTAGATTTGTGTATTTTTCATTCCTCCTTCCCTTTTGATTCTTTTTTTTAGGTTAAAACATGAAAAGAAGATCTAGCTTTGTCAATAGAGCTGGAGATCTATGTTAATTTTATATTTATTTATTTTTCATCTCTATCGCAAGTCATTCCTATCGCCGTCTCTATCGCAAGTTATCTCCCTCCCTCCAAATTACATCTTCATCATTTTTGCGCCCTCCCTTCACACTTTCTCCCTTCAATAATAAAATTTATGAAGATGATGAGCTTCATTCTATTCCCATCATCAATTTGAAACAACATGCTCATATCTTCTCGCATCTCGTTTGAGATAGAGTTCAATTCGAGACAAGGTATATTACAATCCTAATCCCAAACCCAATCCATTAAAATTCATATCTTCATACCAAACAGGGCCAAGGTATATCACATATGATTAATGCACTACCTTATTTTCTCTAACTAAATCCATGGGGTACTATTATAAATAAGACTAGTCCATGTGACTAGACTAGCCTAAACTCTCTAATTGTAAGGGATTACTCCAACCAAAGGCGCCCATATTTAATCTCAAACTATGGATTTCGCTTTTCTTGAATTTTGGGGGTGTCATATGCTCGACCAACTTTGTTTCCCTAAGAATCCAATGATATAAGGTGATGTCCAATGCATGCCACTTCTCAAAAGACAATGATAATACAAGGCAATATATTTATATGTAGACCAACCACCAAGGTCACTCATAGTTAAGGCTTATTATGTGGATTTAAATCAATTTTCTCCCTTAGGATAAACTCCCACCCAATCATGTGATCATGCAAAATACATTTCATGCTCATAATGCACACTAACATGTTCTCATACTTAACTTAATTACCAATAAATCAATCAACATGCTTGAGATTTCCATTTATAAACATCAAACCACTTCAATAGCATATTATAGGACATTAACCCACTTTACATAATGTTATAAATGAACATAATATTGTTGTATTAAAATACACATAAAGCATAATATTGTCATACTAAAATACACATTAAGCATTTCACAACACTCATAATTATAGTTACAAGCTTATACATGTGTTTAGGCTCTTGATTACCATAACATTTGGTTTACCAACCAAGAGTACTCTTATATACCAAATGGAGCCTTCAACAAGCTCAATTACACCAATGTAAGATCAATCTATATATCATATAATCATCATAGTTAACAATCAATCTCTATTGATTTTCACTAGTCAACAATTTGCCTGAAATTCCCCTTTGCTCTTCTCACACAGTTAGACTAATTTCTAACATTCATTATCAAAGTTAGTATTAGTCTTTTTTTTTTTACTAGACAAAGTTAGTATTAGTCAAAACAAAACCACTAAACTCTCACTTAGTCATCAACCCATTCATTTAGCTATAGGGTTTACTCTAAACCCATCATAACAAACCCCAACTTATGAGGACAAATGAACCCAAAAGTTAAACACTTAATAAACCCCCAATAGTTGCATTTAAGTCCGAAAATTGGTGGAACCCTCGTACATTTCAGATTCCATCACGGACACTCCCAAAACTCAACCAACAATGCATAAAAAAGGTAAAGAAGAGAGTTTGGAGTGTACCCAAGTGATTTCTAGTTCCCAATGGCGCTAAATGACCTCCAATGGCCCTAGCAGAGCCACCATGTTCTTCTCCCAAAACTTCTCTATTTTTTTTTCTATTTGAAACATAAAATGCAAATTTGAAATAATAAATTATGTGACATTCATCATGGTGGATGACACAATAAGACCCCTTTCAAAATTGGTCTACTCTAATGGGCCCAATGTGGCCCCAAAGGTCCAATCCTTAGTCTCAATTAAGGTCCAATGAACCAATGGTCATCTTTAATAACTTATTACTATATTTAATCCTAATTTAATAATTTACCTTTAATTAAGATAATTTATCATAATTAAAATTTTAGAATGTTATAAAGCTGCACTAGTGTAAAAAGGCAAGGGTTTGAGGGAGGAGCAAAGCAGCCATACGTAGGAGTTACAGTTACAAAATTACTCCTTCTCATCTTCCTTTTGTTGGGTTTGAGAGCTTTGTTCTTGAGCCCATCGAAGGGTGGGTTAAGTACATAGAAACATCAGAACCTGGTTTAGACTAGAAGCTGAAAGCAAGGGTCATGAAGACATCCGGATAAATTCACGTGGGCACACTAGAATAAACATCTGTTTCATCAAAATAGATAAGAAGCGCATGATGCTCCAAAATCAGCTCTTCAGTTAATTTGAATCACCTCATAATATAAGATATGTTGTGCTCCTTGAGAAATAATTTAAGGAAAAAAATAATCTTTAACATAAAAAATAAAAATATCATAGTTAGGGTTGGAGTCAGGAATAAGGGTTGGGCCTGAAAGTCCTGTTTAAATAAAGATTTAAGCTTTAAAAATTAAATTTTTTTAAAGTAAATGGGCTGCAGGGCCTGGCCCTAATAAACCATATAAAAAAAAAAGCTCAAGTTTGGACAGTTCTTCAAATCTTGTTATATTATTATTAATTTTTTTCTTTGTTAGAACGTACATTTGAAGTCAAGAAGGACTTGCTCGCTTGAAATCTTAATACTACATGTGTTATATTATTATTAGTTTTAATTTATTCTAAAATTAATTTATTGTCATTTAATAAATATCAGTGCACAATATAAAATTTTTAATATTTTTTATTTTTCTATAATTATTATGTTTGTGTATTTATAAAAAATAAACTTTTTTTAAACCAAAATTTAAATTTTTTTTACTAAACTTCTAAATATGTGTTGTTTAATTTCTAAAAAATTATAAGAATTTTTATTTTTCAAAAAATTTTAAAATAATTTAATTAATTTATAATGTTTAATTTAGTTTAATTTTTTTTTAAATAGGGCTTAGTGAATCCAACCTTGAACCTTTCTAATAAAGGCTGAACCTCAAAAACAAAAAATGAAAAATGAGAAAATAGGTTTAAAGGCTACTGTTAAGGGCCAAGCCCCCCTTTTCTCAGCTCTATTTAGAGTGTAGGAGATTGCACGAGCTCTCTCATAGCCTTCTTTCTCTTTGTACATTTTTTTTAAAAAAAAAACACTTAAGATTTAGGCGAGTCAAGGCTTAAAAACTTACCAAAACATAACTTGTCTTCAAACTCAAAGGGCACTAACAGATGTACTGAAAATATGCCTACTAACAAGATTTTCATATCGATAGTGAAATTTAAACTCACAATTTTGTAAACCATAGGCCAATCATTTTATCAACTGAACCAACCTTTGTTAACTTTTCATGGCCCTCATTTCATTCCAAAAAAAAAAAATGTTGCAAGTTGATATTCCATTTCAATAAAACCCAGAATAGTTGGTCCCCCTAAAAAAAAAACGAAACAATAAAAAACTCAGAATGAGAACATAGTGGACTGAGCCGTCTAAGCGAAACATGGAACAAATTACACAAAATCTGCAAAGCAATGCCAAACTTCAAATTTCAAAACACTTGTACAATACACAAAAGAATTATATAAACCCGCGTCAGTCAATATAATAGTTCGTGGTGTCAGCAATGAAAGGGAGAAAAAACAAAAATAAGTTAATATGAAAAACTTTCATGAAACTTGATATTAAAACAAAAATAAGCTATATTTGAAGTATAGATCTCATCATACAACTTGTTTGTCAACAACAGCGAGTGTGCCTACGACCTTACTGCCGCGTAACCCGACACTGAAACCCCTTTCTTTTTTCTCAGATATATGATTGATCCACTGACGAGCAACAACAAAATCACAATCCCCTGTCCAAAGTGTCCCACAGAATACACGTCAATACTTGTTCTCATCTCATCCATAGTTTAACAATCAAAAACGCAGAATACCAAATATAGTTCACATCTACATATCCATAACCTTCAAATTGAGATAAGTATTCTCATACCTTCCATTTGTACATAGAAAACTCCGTGGTTAAATTTTCTGATAGAATTTAAAGTGTTTAGCAGAAGAGGGAAAGTTTGAGTGCTTATTTTCGTAACTTAATGCAAATATAGAATGCTCAATTATAACAGTGATGCTTACAGAAGAATATACAGAAATTGATTAAATTAACCGATCAGAGAGTGCTCTCCGCAAAGATTTGCACTCATAGGCAATAATATCAGCATATGGCCATTGGTTGTCAATTGACATCAATTATCAATATAAGTGGTTAGAAGTTTGATGAGCACAGTAAGCTTCCTCAATTCATAAGGATAATAGGCAACATGAGAAATATCTTAAATACCATTACTTAATGGATTATATACGGGCTGACGAGTAAAGAAGTAAAGATAACGAGCTGCACAATCTCACGTTGTACATCCATAGATAGATATGAGCATGCCAAATTAAATTACTCTAAAGTTTCGACCAAATTGTAAACTAATTTTCTGCGAGATGGGCATTCCTCTTACACCTGTGAAGTGTGGAGGATAAAACTTGATGCCCAATACAGTAGCAAAGGTTCTTTGACAGTGAAATATGCAGGAAGCCTATTTAATAATAACTGATGAGTCCCTGTGGGCTAGTTCTAATGCTAGCAAAGTAAAAGCAATTCAAAGCAGAAGGTAGACTATAGATAGATGAACAAGCACTCAATCTGTTTTATGGTGTTATCACTTATGAGTTATCATCCCCCTTCAAGTAAGATGGATACCTCTTGAAGTGCGTTGCGAAGAAATAATTTGGACTTGTAGGAATTAGAAAGCGATGAGGGAAAAGATGAGAGAAGAACAGAAAGATAGGTAGAAGCAGAGAGGAATGAGAGATTAAGAAGAGGTCGAGAGAAATTTAGGAATAAAGGAAATTCTATTTAGTCACTGCTGAGATAAACTACAATTCAAATGCCTTAACATATATATAGGCTTCACCCGCTTACTTCACCCAACGGCTAATCACCGCACTGCTAAACCGTTATTCAAATCTAACTAACTAATATTAACATTTTATAAAACTATAACAAAGTGAGACTAACATTAAATATGAAGGTACAGCATGTGAAACGCTCTCATTCTTGGAGGATCCAATATCTTCGACATGCTAATAGCTCTTAATCGATTAGGGAACACTACCGGAGTTGACTAGATTGTTACAAAATCATAAATTGTGAACTGTGGTCATTGACCAAGACTGGTCCATAGAAGTTGGGAACGTAACCAAAAACAGAAATAAACTTCTCATTTGTGATTTACAAGTAGAAGTTGAGATCAACACTTTTTTTTTTTTCTCTCCATCAAACATATAACTCTGGAAACACTATTCTTAAAAATGGTTGATAACTTAGAGCAGTTTCAGCATCCCTACTCAAGACTATGTTATTACTTATAATAATACACAGAGTCACTGATGTCACATACATGGGTTTGCAGGTGCAAAAGTCTTGAAATTGAAAAGGAAAAAAAATCTCAGTAGCAGCTTGTCTGCTACTTGATGATATTAACTAGTTCAAGAACAAATAACACCCAATTCAATGTATAATCTGAGATTGCCAGGCATAGCTAACAATCAAAATGCCAATAAAAGTTATGTGTACAAATGTAAATTACCTCAAAACTAAGGACAGACAGCTTGTCTTCAGTAGTTGCAGGTATACAGCTTCTATAAGTGATGTAAGCCTGCAACCTGTTATCTGAAGTAGATGAACTATCAAGTAAACTTCTTTGTTCTTTAGAGGTACTGAACAACTCTCTGGAATCATTCAACACCTTATGTGATTCAGCAATGCCATTGGAGACTTCCAGAGTAGACCGTGCATTTTGAGAATCTGATTTCTCTGAACTTTTGACAGAATTTTCACTTTCTATACACTTTAATGGGATTCGGTAGCCAGTTTCACTGCAGCGATATTTCTCATCACCCTTTAACCCCAATGTGACACACAGATAAGAATAAAATAGAGATAAAACTAACAACTATGCAAGAGACACTTCATATGGATCACATATAGAAGAAAAGACAGAAACACAGACAGAAATACAAAGATGTTCAAATCTTTTAAAAGCTTCAAATGACTTCTTCAGGGTGAGGAAGACTAAAATGCAGGACTTCACACCTCATCTCATAAGCTTATCACATCTCACAGCCCTCGGAGTCAGACATTATATCAGAGTTATAGGTTCAAGGAAGGAAGTCAGAAAAATTTCTTGTGAGTACGTTTTGGCACAGCATGCATCAGTGCCTCTCGAAACGGTTCAAGACATCTTGCACAAAAGAAAAATGCTTGATACAGTTATTGAAATAAAATACAAGTATTTAATGGGTGCTCCCTAGCTGAACCCCCGATGTCTAGTATGGAAGACTTGATAGTTTAGCTAGTAAAGGAAATGACTTATACGCTATAAAATTCATTTTAAACATAGCAACAAAGTCTAAGAGATCAATTCGCAAGAGAAAGCAATTGCAAGGATAACTCAAAATTATACTATAAACTAGTAACAGAAAAAGGTACATGGTCAAAAGATCAAACCCCAATTTCAGAAGAACAGAAAAGCCACCTTCTCGGAGTAGAGGCAGGGGACGCAGGGTCCAGAAGGAGAGCATTCAAATGTGACGTTACTCCCCGGGGGCTTTTCCTTGAAACTCATCAGAACTCTGCGTCCCAACCCATTTTGAGATCCTTCGCTTCCCCAATCTCTGTCCAATCCAAACAGAACCGGAAAAAAAAAAAAACAAGAAGAAGAAGCTAAACTATCACAATTCACACAGATCACACAAATCAGAATGAAATTGACACAGAAAAATGGAGCTTACATTTGCTGCCCTAGAGCGTGTAGGAAGCTCAGCGAGAACACGGCGATGATTAGGGATAAGAAAATAGGACAAATCAAGTGGGAATTTGCAGAATTCATTGCCTTTGCTTGGTAGTTGGCTCCTTCTTGTGCGCTTCTCCTCGATCGAGCATGTATAGCTTCAATAACAGTTTACTGGGCTCAGCTAGAATATAGCGCACAGCCGCATAGGACTTTCCTTAGTCCTTAATCCCTTCAAACGCTGCGCAGATCGGATTTTTTGTTTCTTTGTTTGTTAGTTTTTTTATTTGTTTGTTTGTTTTTTTTTTTTTTTTTGAAGTTGGCAATTTGTTCTGGTTGGGTCTGCCTTTCAAGTTTAAACTAAACTAAAAAGTTAAAAAAAAAAAAAAAAAGCTCATGCAAAATTTAGCCAATAAATCTCCTTAATAATTAGGACTCTCACATTTTGTTTGAGTTTAAAAGAAGGGGAGAATGATAGATAAATCTCTCTAAAAGAAATTATCATTTAGTTCTACAAAATATGATAATGATAGTAAGATTTTAAGGAATTTTTTTAAAATTAAATTTTTATATGAAATTATTTTAGTACCTCTATGTAATTGAAAAAATTGTGATTTTATAAATTATTTTAGTTATTGATGGAACTAAACTTGTAAATACTTATATCAAACTTATAAACAATTTAAAATTAGTTGGATTTTGATAATAGAAATTTATAATTTTTTAAATCATTTTAATTATTGGTGAAATTAAACTTGTGTATTCTTATACTAAACTTGTGAATTATATAAAATTAGTTAAATTTTGTTGATTGAAAAAAATTGCTAATAGAAAATTATGATTTTCTAAATTATTTCAATCGCTAGTGGAATCAAACATGCGAATACTTATACTAAAATTATAAACTATAACAAATTAATTGCAAGGAATACTAAAGTGAATTCATACAAAAACTTAATATCAAAAAAGTCTCTTAAAATTTCACTGTTAATATTACATTTCTTAAAACCAAATTATCATTTTCTTATTTTAGAGAGACTTATATATCATTCTCTCAAAAATAAATTATTTTTTAAATAATTTAGATACATTATAAAAAGTATGTTATCATATATAGATAAAATTAGAGGTAGAAATGGTTAAGGCCAGGCCTATTTAAGAAAGTAGCTAAGCTCATGCTTACAACCACGTTGTTTAAAACTTGACTTAAAGGCCTGTCATACGTACTTATTTATACTTTTATGTAAAGAGATAATAAAATTTTTAATTTCTCAAGTTTATCTCAATTATTAATGGGGGAATTACATCCAACCCCTTCCTAAAAGAATTAATATAAGAATCAACAACAAGTTCTATTTGAAAAAAATAAGTCATATTTTCATTTTAACAACAACCTGTTTTGCATTGGTCCTTATTTGTGATTAATTCTCCTAAGAAGGGGTTGAATGTGATTTTTCCTTTATTAATTCAATCCATCAAACTTAATTTTTATCAATTTGATCTTTATTGTTTAAATAAAAGTTAACTCTGTTAAAATATGATGAAATGGATAATGAGTATTCAGGCCAAGTCCTGACTTGGCTGAAATATTGTCAAATGTATTCCAGTAGCCCGAATAAACTTCAAATATAAGTTTTTTTTTAAGTAATAAGCATGGCCCTTGCTTTTTCAGACTTATTCGGTCTGATCCAAATTACAAATTCTAAGGATGTATAATGATTATGGTGAGACATTTAAAGTAACTAAATTTTACCTCGTGCAATAAGTGAGATATCAAGATTTAAAAGAATAATATATCTTAGGAATTTTAAATTTCTTCAGTGATAAAAAAATTTTGATTTTTTAAAAAATGACAAGTGAGGTTAAAAAAGATTTTATTGATTTTTTTGAATCTTATTTCTATTAAAAAAATTTAACCCCACTTTCTCATGTTTAAATCATGCTTGTAAAAAAATTATATTTGAAATCAAATTTATCAAAATCTCCCTTCTCCTCGCCTCTATTTCCTTTCATCTCCCTCCAACAAAACATGGCTAAAAGTTAATTCAGGTTAAATGCTAAATAAAGATTATATTGATAATCCTACAATAAAAAATAGTGTTCTTAGATGCAAAATATAATTTTACCCTATGGTCCTTTTATATTAAAAGTTATTTTAAAAATAAATTATTTTTTATAATTTATTACTGTTATATATATTAAAAGTAAGGGAGTTCAAAATCGATTTAAATTAACATAAACTGGTCAAAACTAATTATAAACAAGTTTTGGTTTCGCTTTTTTTTTTAACAAAATTGATTAATTCGGTTCAATTCAAGCTTTTGTCACTAGAAACTTGGACCAAACTGAGTCAAACTTATATATATATATATATATTATGTATTTTTGTAATTTTTCTAAATTATGAAAGTATATAAAAAAAAATTTCAAACTTCATTCAAACTCAAACCACACTAAATCAATTAAAAAAACTACATAGGTCTCAAGTTTTGCTGAATTGATTGATTTGGTTTTTAAAAATATAAAAATTATTTTATTTTATAATTTATGATCTTGTTCTTATTAAAAATAAAAAATAATAAATTTTGAGATTAAAAGCAAGATCAAACCCATGATTTTTCATCTCACTTACAAAAAAACTTATATGCCATTAAATTACAAGTTCATTGACAATTTTTTTAATAGGATTGCAAATTTATATTTTTACAGCCTGTGTAAATTAAATTTGTAATCTTATTGTTGGTATCACACCCAGTATATTTACTATGTCCATGATCTAAATTTTTTATTTGTAGTCTTATGCATATTTTTTTATTGTCGATCTCACATGCAATTTGGGTTGTAGTATAATATTTTTTTTAATGTATTCATTCACTTACAATATTTAAATGAGGCAAAAACAAATTAATGGAGCCAATTTTTTTTTTAGAAAAATTATCAACAAAAGCACATACATATAGGATTGAAAATTAAAAAACAAAAACCAAAACAATATCATCACCAGACCATAACATGATGATTTTGTGACCCACCCACTACATCTGTCCTCATAGAACCACTGATATTTTAATAATAGGTTTAATCATGTGTGCATAATCACTATAGGAGAGAGTATGTCCTATCACTAACACATTAGAATCAAAATTGGTCCCAAGTGACCAAATATGCTTGAAGGACCAAGTTGAATCTTTTATTCATTTAATATCATCTAACCAAAATGCCCCTGTCCTAAATGAAGAAATTTGAAAAGGAAAACCACCATTTCTTCTTCCTTTCTTCGCACGATTCAAAGAAACATAAGAGTTTAGAATCCTGTGCAACAATTGGTAGTGAGGAACAAATTTGATGGAGCAACAATGGCTATCTGAAGTATGACTGAGTTGTGTGTGACAAGTTTTGAAAAAGATAACCCCATTGAAGAACCAAACAATTGAAGAACTAGAGAGATAAAGTGATGGTTGAGGAGCCATGAGGAACGGCATTGACGGAGGAGCAATTGGCAGTATGAGTGAGGACTTAGTTCTAACTGGGGTGCAAGAGTTCTGACTTGGATACAAGGCTTCTAGCTTAGATGCAAAGGGTCTGACCTAGGTGCAAGGGTTCTAGCTTTAGAGCAGGGCTTCTCACTTAAGATGCAAGGGGACTGGCTTGGATGCAAGGATTATGTCCTGTGTCATACCAATATTGATTTACATGTAATTAATGGTGGTTTACATGTAACTTCAAGGCACTAATAGGGATGTCCTCTTTGTGTAATTGATTTACATGTAATCTGTCAAATATTACTATAAATTATTCCTCAGTCATATTCACGAGTTTCTTCACCTATAGATTTACATGTAAATGTAGCTGTTTTCATATAATTTTAGGCCATTCACAAGGGCATGCTTTCTATGTGTTTAATTTACATATAATTTGCTAGAGATTATATGTAAATTATTTCTCAGGCATACTTGTAAATTTTTTCTTAGATCGATTTACATATAATCAATGGTTATTTACATGTAAATTTGAGGCACTAACAGATGCATCCTCTCTGTATAATTGATTTACATGTAATATGTTAGAGATTACATGTAAATTATTCTTTAGACATGCTCAAAAATTTTTTTCCATATTGATTTACATGTAATTAGTTATTGATTTCATGTAATTACAAAGGCACTGACAGTAAAGGCCCTCTTTATATTTGATTGACATGTAATCCACAAGATATTACATTTAATTATCACACTGATAAGTGAGGATTCAATAATTTTACATGAAGGACAATTGATTTTTTAATGGAAAACAAGTAATTGTCTGGGAGGATTATGAACAGCAAAAATATTGAAAAAACAAAAATAATAATCCATTAACTTAGATCTATCATTGTGCCAAGTACAAACCAAATGATAAACAAGGACCATAAGGCATGCTAAATCAAAAAAAATGTCATGAGAGGTAAGAACAACATCAAGACCTTGTTAAACTATATCCTATCCTATATAAAAAAAAACAAATCAAAGAACACTCACAATAAGTTCTCTTTTATTTAAATATTATATATATTATATAGAAAGCTATATTAACCCATAAATGATACAAATTCAACAATATAACATGGAGGACAATTGAATTGTCCTTGAAAAACAAGCAACTATGAAGAGGGAGAATGAACAACAAAAATTTCATTGAAACAACAATAATTCTATAAGGTTTAGCTTGTCTTTTTTGTCAAGTATAGTCAAAATGATAAATAAAGATCATGGGGCACCTTATATCAAAAAATATACTATCGGGGTAAGTACAACATCATGCCTATGTTAAACTACATCTCACTCTATATAAAAAAACAAATAAGGGGGATGGTTACTTTTTTACTTTACACTACAAAAAGGAAGGACAATAAAGATAAGGGCAAACAAGTCAACTAGCTATTTAAGCTGACTTTGCTTGGTCTCCTATTCGACAAAGATGATCCTTACATGAATATATTTTAAAATATAATCACATTTTCATTCAATCTTTTAAGGAAATCCCTTAATTAGCATGTCCTTGTAGCTCACTTGAGTTATGAGATGAATGTAAGAGCTTTTTCATTTGAACTTATTTTTTTTCTCCTCTTCAGACAAAACCTCATGTTTTGATGCGTCTAAAACATTAATGCCTAAAATGAAAATTAGTGGCAAAAACAAGTAGGTCATTCAAGCATTAATATACAACAGAAAAAATATCATTTTGGGCACATAGATGAAAA